GGGCGGCGGCGCCCCCCTGCGGCCACGGGGCTGAGAACACGAGAGTCGAGCTCCCCTTGTCCTCCTCAAGTCGGGACCTCCCCGGGGTCACCCTTGGCTCCCAGCAACTGGACAGGGCTACGTACACAAGGAGCGCCTCCATCACGTGTCAGGTTCGCAAAGTGTTCCCCAAATCCCCGCTGACATAGGTGTGTCCTTTCCACTGAGTGACCGCGGACTCTGACCTCAGGGCAGAGAGGTCTCCAGGCCATACAGCTGGTTCCCAGGTCAGGGCGGGGGGCCCACAAACATCCTGTCACTCGTGGTCTAATGTTTCTTGAATGAATGAATGAGCTATTCATGTAAATGCCCTATTCACCCAAATGTCCTACTCATCCCATAATTCTTTGCTGACCCTCAAGATTTGAGGCTCAGATCAAATCTGCAAACCGTGACCTGGGGGCTGGCTTTCCAGTTTCCTAAATAAAGCGATTTGGCACAAGGGCGGGGATCAGGGTGGGGCAAGTGAGGCATGCACAATCGTTGGGCCAGATCGTGTCTTCGTTGGAAAGCTGGTTTTGTTTGTTCATGTAATGGAAAGCATGGTGGCCACGCCCACCTCTAGCCCGTGTTCACGTGGGTCTGAAGATCACAGCGATCTACGTGACTACTTCACTCTCTGCCTCAGGCACTTCTCACCACGACTCTGCCTGAGTGGCCCCGGCTCACAGACAAGGACTGTCCGCCTGCCAGGGGCAGAGCGCTGTGCCAGGTACCCTGGGGACGCTAAGAGATTTAAAACCTGCACCTGGCAGCCATCCAGCGCTTTTCTATGGAGCGGAGATGGGGAAGCAGAGGGCCTGGTTTCAAGTCCTGGGACGACGGGCAAGGCCCCGACGTCTCTCGCCTGTCTCCTCGCCTGCAAAATAGCCAGGATAGCCATTCCTGCTTTCCGGGGTGGTTGTGAGGGTTTCATGGAGGCTACGTTTATTTGCAAAACCATTTTGTAAATTATAAAACCCCATGCTCGTGTTTATATTTTACATAAAAAACGATCATAATACAAAATGGAATGTGGTAAGTGCTAATTAAGTAAAAGGAAAATAAGTGGTGTGGTTTCAACCGAGCTGATCAAAAGGAGAAAAAACATCACTGAGAAAGGTTGACCTGGGTTTGGGTAAGTGACCGGGAGTACCCAGTAGGACTTCACCTGGACATGGCCCTCTTAATACCCGCACACCTTCTACGTCTCACCGTGTTCCTCCTTTGCCTTTGCTTTTCAAAGGTGCCGAGTGCCTCCACGGCTCATGCCAGGGGTCTGTGAAGGCCTATTCTTTTCCTTTAGGCGCTAGGTAACGGTTTTCGGTGGTTGTGTGTGTTTTAGTTGCAGGTAATTTAGTCCTCATTTTTCCAAGAGTAAATTAAGACTGGGGACAAGAGAAAATCCCAGCGCTGGGTGGGCCTGGCGGTGATCAGTCGGGGGGAGGGGCAAGCCGGTGGGCGTGGCAGGGCTTTCCGGGATTACCCTGCTTAGGGTGGGCTCTCCTGCCCTTGGCGAGGCCACCGCCTCGGCGCGGGCTGGGTACGCGGCGGAGGGAGAGGAAGGGGGGCGGGGTCGCCTGCGCCCGGCGGGAGCGCTCAAGCTGCTGGTCCCCGAGGAGCCCTGCGCCCTTGGCTGCGTCTGGGTCCTCGAAAGGCGTCAGGTGCGTAGGGCGGCGGTGGGGGCCGGTGGAGGGTGTTTGTCGGTGCTCCGCCGCCCCTTCGGCAGGCGAGGCGCGCACGCGCCCCTAATCTTGAAGGCACTTCCAACCTCTGCGGTGCCTCTGGGAAATCTGGGCTAGTCTGGATTGTGGCTGGGTGTCCTGTCCTCTCCGGGCACGCTGGGGACTCGGCGCCAAGGACGTTTCGGGACAGACGGGCATCGGGCATGCCCTCCCAGCCAGTGGGACCACTTCTGAGCACAGGAACCCACGCGGTGGGTGTGAGTAGGTGGCCGCTGGGCCACGCAGTGGTGAGCGAAACAGCCTTGGTTCCCGCCCCGCGGGCAGCGTAGAGGCCGGGGTGCCGGATCTGGGCGCGCCCGGACAGTCAGCGTAGACAGTCGGGCCGGGGACGCCACTGGGGGCCGCGATCGGTGCGCAGGGGCCGAGGAATGGCTGGAAAGGGTTCTTGAAGACCTCAGAAGAGACCCAAAGGGTTGGGGGCATCAAAGGAGGACCCCACAAGGCCTTACAGGTGTGTTGGGGGTTTCGGTCGTGCTCAGAATTGCTGTGGGAAGCCATTCAAGGTTTGCGGGTAGAGAGAGATTGGGGGCACTCAAAGGACTGGAAGATGGCGACACATCCCTCAGGGGATTTACATTCTAGAAGGGCGGGACAGGCCGCGGTCCAGATAACCGGGTAGGCGACCTCCAGCCCCTAACTGCCACAAGAGTCTGGTGACTTTTACCCAGCCTCCTCCCACCCTCCAGCCTGATTGAGCTCTGGGGCCTTGTGGGTGAGGAAAACACTGTGGGAGGTAAATGGGAGTGGTGGGGTGGCTGCAGGGGAGGGGTTAGCAGCAGCTGCCCGAGATTCAGTCCCGCAGGGGTTAGAATCTGTACCAAAGGCCTCTTCCTACCACACCCAGCAAACGCCATCTGGAGGACTAGTGACTGCAGTGGGTCTTCCTGCTGCAAAACTGGAAGGCCAGGTCCTTGAGGACCCTGTTATTGAGGCTGTTTTACGTGTGGTTGGCTGGAAAGCAGAGGAATTATCCTGGACCTGCATACCTTTCAAAAGGAATGGGAATGATCTTGAAAGAAAGAAAGGAAAGGGAAGGAAAGAGACAGTAGAGAGAAAGAGAAAGGAAGGAAGTAAATCAAATTCCTATCCCAGGAATGCAGCTTTCATGACACCTTTTTGGGGATTCAATTAACTCTGTTCTTCAAATGCCTTTTTTCCTAACTGTATTTTCAATTCCACAACCCTTGCCAAAAAGTGAAAGAAAAAAGTTAACAAGTTTTTATGTCTTTCTATCTTGAGGGAGGGGAGATGTGGGTGAGTGGGCTTCCCACAGGAAAAGGTGAGTGTCCAGCCATGTTTGCATCAGAGCAGGAAACTCCAGCCCTGTGCTCATTCTGAGCCCTAAACAAGTGATTGCTGTTGGGTTGTTACTAATATTATTCTTTACAAGGCTCCATCTACATAGTATTCCCCGTCATCCACGAGGAATTTGTTCCAAGACACCCCAGTGGATGCCTGAAACCACAACTAGTGCTGAACCCTGTATAAATTGTTTTTCTTATACACACCTATAAGAAAGTTTAACTTATAAATTACACACAGTAAGAGATTAACAACGGTAACTAATAATAAAATAGAACAATTATAGCAATACGCTGCAATAAAAGTTATGTGCATGTGGTGTCTGTCTCTCAGAGTATCTTATTTTAGATCTTAGCAACCTCAGCATATGATTGTTTTTCCCTTAAATCAAGAACTTTGGCCTTTTCACTTAAAGGAAGTGCTTTACGCTTCTCTTGGCCTCTCTGAATTGCCTGCATCTCCACTCTTGCTCTTGGAGGCCATTATTAAGTAAACCAAGGGGTACTTGGATACAAGCACTGTGATACCAGGACAGTTGACCTTTTAGCGGAGATGGCTGGAGACAGCTGTCTACAGTGAGGATATGCTGGACAAGAGATGATTCGTATCCGTGTGCTGGAGTAGGAAGGCGAGAGATTTCATCACACTGCACAGAGCAGCACACAATTTAAAACTTAGGGATTGTTTATTTTTGGAATTTTTCATTTAATATATATTTTTTTTGAGACAGAGTCTCACTTTTGTTGCCCGGGCTAGAGTGAGTGCCGTGGCGTCAGCCTAGCTCACAGCAACCTCAAACTCCTGGGCTCAAGCGATCCTTCTGCCTCAGCCTCCCGGGTAGCTGGGACTACAGGCATGCGCCACCATGCCCGGCTAATTTTTTCTATATATTTTTAGTTGTCCGATTAATTTCTATTTTTTTTTAGTAGAGACGGGGTCTCGCTCTTGCTCAGGCTGGTTTCGAACTCCTGAGCTCAAACAATCCGCCCGCCTCGGCCTCCCAGAGTGCTAGGATTACAGGCGTGAGCCACCGCGCCCGGCCTTCATTTAATATTTTTGAACTGTGTCCACAGGTAACTGAAACCACAGCAAAGGAAACTACAGATAAGGGGTGACTACTGTATGTATTAAAGATAGAAGTCACAGAATTTTCTTTTTTTTGTTTTTTGGTGCTGGAAGGGATCTGCTTGAGGGACTCCTTTATTCTCATGTGTCTGATGAAACCAGGTCAGAGATAATGAAGAGACTCACTCAAAGTGGTTTGTGACAGGTCCAGGGCTGGTCACACCAAGCACAGGCTTGATTTTCAGTGGTACTGAGGCAAGGGTTTAAGCACTAACTCTCCTGTGGATCAGGAGTGTCCTTGGACAGGCTACTTGCATCTCTGCACTTTGGGTCATTAAGTTGGGGCCAGTACTTGCTACCTCCTGGGCAGTGCTGAGAGGATTTGATGGCACAGAGCAGGGAGTAATAACTCCTGGCATTCCCTGACCAAATAAGGAAGGTTTTTCATACTCTCCTTCTTGCTGATATGTTTTGTTTCTCTCTGACTGCAGGTTTCTAGAAGCAGGGTGGAACAGAGGCCAGACGCCCAGCCCAGCCTGGCATTGCTGGACAATGGCAACTGGGCCAAGAGTGAACAGGGCCCTCGACTCTGTGGCTCAGGCCTCGAGGGAGCCAAAGGTGTCCTCGATCGTGGAAGAGGAGAATCTGTACAGCACAACAAAAAAGGAAGACAGCCCCTTGGAGCAGATACATTTGTCACAGGATGCCACATCAAACCCTGGGGCCCATGTGGGGCGTCCCCCTCTGCTCAGTTCCTGGGAGGTGAATAGCCCCAGGAAGGAGACCAGCCAGCCCTGGGGGCCAGGCCAGGAGTGGGTAAAGGAAGAAGGAGGCACCAGGGAAGAGAAAGTACTTGACCAGTTGAAGCCGATGGAACGTGTGCGGAAGATGTTCCCGTGGGTGGGCGAGGTGGCAGCTGCCCTGCAGGAAGCCATGAAGAAAGAGTGCTGGTGGGAGGCGCAGGTGCAGGTGAGGGACTGAGCTAGAGACAGGGAGGGACCTGGATTCCAGGAGCGCTTTCATCCATTCCCCTGCAGGTCAGATGAAATCTCAGGTTAAACAACACCCAGGAAAAGGAGACGCAAGCCCTTTTTCCACCTCCCGTGCCTCCCTGGCATCCTCGGTGGAGCACTCCCTGAAACTTGTCAGAGTGGCAGCCGTGTTTCCTTTGCTCTTCTTTCCATTTATATTCTCTGTATCTCCTCCGTGCCGCCCCATCTTTCTGCCTTTCTCTTTACCCTTTCCTTTCCATACTTCATGGTTGCTGGCTTTTTGTGTGTCTTTTCATATTTCTCTCTTGCTTCCATGGTTTTATCATTTTCTTAGGTTTCAGTTCTCTGAACCTTGTGATAGATGTCAGTCTGTGTGTGTATGTGGACTCCCTGAGTCTCTCCTGCTGTTTTAGAAGCCAGTCACCTTTGAGGATGTGGCAGTGAATTTCTCCCAGGAAGAGTGGGAATGTCTGGGTGCCAGTCAGAGGGTCCTTTACCAGGATGTCATGTCAGAAACCTTCAGGAACCTGGCGTCTGTGGGTAAGAGGCTGGGCTTCCCTCCTGTACCCCTGGAACATCTGGCTTCCCTGAGCGGATAGATTGGCTCACTTAGTTTCACTGGCCCCTGGTTCTAATCTATACCTTCCAAGTGGGAAAGATCTGGAGCACTAAGCTCAGGGGTAAAAAGAGAAGCAATGAAAGCCTGTATGAAGGCAAAGATAGCACTTGTAAAATGATAACAGTGTTCTCAAAACATGCGAATCTGCCTATTCCCCCAATCAGTATTTACTAAGTTACTCCTGCATGCCGGGACTCTGCTTGAACTGGCCTTTCGATTGCCTCCTCCCTGCATCTACGTGTCCCAGACTGTGTTCTGAAACAAAGGGTACAAGAAGTAGCCTGTTGTCCCCATCAGGTAGGAAAGTGCAGCCTGGAACCAACTCAACTCTTTCTCATCCCACTTTCCAGCCAGAATCTTTCTGCATAAACCAGATCTGATCAGCAAGCTTGAGCAAGAAGAGGAGCAGTGGAGAGCGTGTCTCCGTCCCCCAGACAGAGAAGGTCTCCTTTCAGGTAAGAATTGCAAGGGAGAGAGGAAGACACAAAGGGCCTGGGACAAGCCCTGGAGGGATGGAGAGCTGACTGAGCGTCAGGCTCTGTGTGTCCTCTCCTAGCCTGCGCCTTTCCAGCCGGGTCAGACGCGAGGTGGAAGAGACCTTGCGATCACGGTCTCCAATCCCTTGGCTTCAAGACGACTGTTCAGCCTTTCAGGGCACGGGAATGTCCAGGATTGAGAGATTACATGTAGGCTGCTTGTGTCCGTGATACTGCTCGGATTAAAAAATTCTTTCCAAGAGAAAACAGAAGCGAGGGAGAGAGGCTTGGTGCTGGGTTGGAGTGAGGGAGGCTTGTTCCTGGGAGCAGAGTAAGGATTAATGACACCTCTTCACTCTTGTGTGTCCCAATGTGCATGAGGTTTTATGTGGTCACCTGTGGGCTTTCTGTGGGACTGTGAGCAATATTGACGATGAGAGGAAATGGATTTCAAGAAATGTGGTTGTAAGTTAAAATTCAGATCTCTGATGCTGATTCCAGTTAAATTTTTATTTGCTTTTAATTTGAAAAGCCAAACTTTTTCCTTATTTCTGGTCTTTGAGGCCCAAGGGTGAGGATGACTGTGTTGGGTGGGAAAGCAGGGACAGAGAGGGAGTGGCTTGGGCTGGACAGAGCTCGTGTTGGGGTTCTCAGAGTGAATCTCATAGTGTTCTTCTTCCTCATTCACCACAGAAGACGAGGAGGAGGAGCGTCACGAACAAGAGCAGAATCTGAGAGATGAGGGGACTAGTGACCACAAGAAGGTCACTCTTGCTTGCGGAGGGGCCTGCCGGTGCCCATCCTCTGCTCCAGCCAGGTCTATGGGCAGGACCCCCATGTTCCGAGTATCCCAGGCTGGGCCACCCTTTTTTTGCCACACCTGTGGCAAGAGTTTCAGCAGGCGCTCCTCCCTCTATAGCCACCAGTTTGTCCACAGCCCCAAGCGGACTAACAGCTGCGGGAAGTGTGGGAAGTTGTTTCGGACCCCCAAGTCCCTCAGCTACCACAGACGCGCGCACCTTGGGGAGAGGCCGTTCTCTTGCTCTCTCTGCGACAAGACCTATTGTGATGCTTCTGGACTGAGTCGCCACCGCCGTGTCCATCTGGGTTACCGGCCCCACTCATGCTCCGTGTGTGGCAAGGCCTTCCGGGACCAGTCTGAGCTCAAACGCCACCAGAAGATACACCAAAACCAAGAGCTGGTGGCTGGAACCTGGGATTGTACTGTAAGGATTCCAGGCGCCACTGCTGGATGGCAGATGCCCATCATCAGAAGCCCAGGGGCCGTCCAGGAGCCTGTGGGTGTGGGCCACGCACCAGTGGCCAGGACCCAAGGATCCACATTAAGAACTGAGGGTCCTGTGGCCCAGCCCCAGTCCCCTGTGCTTGGGAACCAAGCCCCTGTGACCAGGACCCAGGCGCCTAACGCTAAAGCCCCCTGCCTAGGTAGCACATCCAACTCTCATCCCGTGAGGCCCTCACGGCTCACGGTCCTCTCTTCCCCCCATTGTCCCCTGACTTTTAGCACGAAAGACTATCTTTCCAGCCACCAGAAGACCCACCCCACAGAGCAGCTTAACTGCTGCTTCCATTGCGCCAAGTGCTTCAGCTCATTCTCCAGGCTGGTCAGGCACCAGCAGACCCACTGGAAGCAGAAGATCTACCGCTGCCCAATCTGCGACCTCTGCTTTGGAGAGAAGGAGGGCCTCGTGGGTCACTGGAAGGGCTATAAGGGCAGGGAACTGTGCCTGGGCAGCGCTCGGAAATGCTGGGTCACCCTGGGCCAGTGGCTTGGCTTCTTCCACGATGCCTCCCCTATGGCTGGGAAGGATGGGAAGCGTGTAGGAAAGGGGTCTCCTCCCGGGATCCACAGGCCCCGGAGGCGGGGCAAGGGAGGCAAAGCAGAGGAGGCAGCGGGGGTCTTGAAACATAAATAAATGGCCTTCTCGACTGAGGTCTTCCTTCATGTTTGCTTTTCCTGAGGACTGACCTCTGGGGCTAGGAGGCTGGGTTAGAGGGAGAGAGGCGAGTGGATAATGAAGGAAATATAAAAACAAGAGGGAAAAGAAATGTGCACACAGAAACTCATGTTATTGTTAATTAGCACCTAGCTTGTTTCTTTGTGTCTGCTAGACCATCAAGTGGTAATTGTTGAATAAAACAGTGGGCACTGGTAGGTGTGAGGATGAGAGGAGAGGAGTCTGAGGGCCCCACAGAGACAGGTGCCCAGCTCTCACCACTTGCTCCCCTCAGTCCTTGTTAGGCCGTCGAGACAAGATGGAGCTCTGGCCGGTATTCTGTGGGCTTCTCATCTCCGCGTTGTGATGAGGGCTCCCCATATCCTCACTCTGTAGCTCACTCAATCTCTCTTTGAAGTTTTGGACTCTTTCTGCTCCTTCCCTCCTACTCTCGACACCTTTCAGCTCTGCCCAGTCAGGGCGGGGGTCTCGGAAAAAACCACCCCCGTCTGCAGAGTTGGCATGCTGCAATCTTCAGCGAGGACGTCCCTGGTCTGCAGCTCATGGCAGAGGCCCTCCTGTCTGTCAGTCTCCAGCACAGGCGTCCTCAGACCAAGGGAGCACCTGCCTGTCCCTAGCCAGGGAGGGCTTCCAGGTAGGACAGGAGGGGAGTGGAAAGATGTGGCTAGAAAAAAGGGGGAAAGAAAGGAAGGCTGGAGAAAGGAAGAGAAAAGGTAGAAGAAGGGAATCAAATCTATTTGGAATTCAGAGTGTTCCTGGAAGTGCAGATTGGGAAGTCCCCACAGCAAAGATGCCAGTGAGTGTGCAACTTGATGGATGTGACGTCCCCAAGGATCAATCCTTGGGCCAGCCAGGCTCTCCTCCACCCCAGCCAAGATGTGACATCACTCAGAAGGGGTTTCCTGGAAGAAAGACAAAGTAACGCGAAAAGTCTGTCAGTAGTTTCTATCATGAAACCGTGAACCAGGGTCATCTTGTCTCTGTGCTCATTTCAGTGGCTGGTCTGAGGTGAGGCACAGGACGGCTGGCATGGGATGGGAAGGGGGGCCTGCTGGGGCAGGATCCCTGCTGAGGGGCACTGATTGTTGGGGGTTGGGTGGGTTTGGGCGGCGGTTGTGGTTGCCGGTTGTTTCTTTCCTTGCCCCTTGGGACTTTTTTCCACCTTCGGGCCCCTTTCCTTTTTCCTTTTCGGTTGGGTTGGCTTCTTCCCCCAGACTCTCCAGTCACTCCTTTCCTCTGGGACAGATCCCTCCATAGCCCCCTCTTCCTCTTGTTGCGTCTGTCTCCCTTCCCTGGCTTTTTACTCTCCCCTTGTAAGAAAGAGAACTTACTTAGCTCTTCAAGGAATTGCCCTGAAAACAAAGAGAAACAATTAGGTGGTCAGTGGAAGGTGACTAGCTCCTTCCCCCACATCCTCCTTGTGGACATCTGGAGTTACCCACCCCCCTTTCTGCTGAGGGATGCCACAGATCCAGTACGTGGTTCCCTTCAGTTTGAGGAGCCTGGGTTGGGCACGGGGCAGACAGGAAGGAAGTCCCAGCTCCCCTACTCTTGTGCCCTGGTTCCAATCTCTTTCTGCTTCCCATCCAGGGCCGACTTGGTCCCCCACTACTTGGTGGTCCTGCCTGCCGCCCCGCCACTTCACCTGCTAGTCTTCGATGTAGCCAGTTGTAGCAGATGATCAAGGCAACCAGAGGTCCAAGGACCGGCACAATTACAAACAGAGTTATCTTCCAGCAGGGCACTCTCAGAAAATGCGGATCTGAATTGTTCACCAGAACGAACAGTGTTAACACGTATTTCTCCTCATGCCCCGGCCACCCTTCTCCTTTTTGGGTTTCTTAACCAGAGGTCCAAGAACACCAAAGGATTCTAGGGACAAAATCCAGGTAGTCCATGAACTTGGATGAGAAAAGCACTACCTCTTTATTTTCACTAACTGGATTTAGCATTTTCTTCCATTAAAAATATAAGCAACTAACCACAGTATCAGCAGTACTTGTGACACAGTCAGCCATGGAAACCACAGGTGCTTTTGTTCCCATTAGAGTTGTTGCAGAAATCTTGAAGTACTGTTTATGTGTATCAATATTTTGAAATTACAAGTTATTAGACTTGCTACTATATTACCACTTTTGCATTACTTTTGGTAAAGAAACATTTGTCGCTATATCACAAATTTGCTCATATGTTGAAAACTGTATTTCAATACAATGATTTTTTCATAATCTTATTTGTTATATTTTATGTGTATATTAAAAAGCATTATTCTGGAAAGGGGTCCTTTAGGCTTTTTCAGACTGCCAAAGAGATTTATGGTGCAAAAAGAGTTAAGACCTTTGATATTCAAATCCTGCAAAACAAGATTCCTCCTTTTTAGGTGTGCAAAGACTGTGTGTGTGAGATCTGCACACCGGTCTAATGTCATAAATCCTAGGACAGAACCCTCATGTATGCCCGGTGCCAGGGGAGCAGAGTAGGGTCACCTATGGCCTCAGGAGGAGAGGCTATTCAGGAAGGCTGTTCAGAGCAGGGACCATCTGTGCTCTGCCCAATGCCATCTTACAATTTCTGCACCATTTTCTCTACAAATATTTGGGTGCTCTTCTGTTACAGGAATTGTCCATACGCACTGGGCAATCTGTAGTGAATAAAAGGGGCAGAGATCATATTCTTTTTTTTTTTTTTTTTTTGAGACAGAGTCTCACTCTGTTGCCAGGGCTAGAGTGCCGTGGCGTCAGCCTAGCTCACAGCAACCTCAAACTCCTGGGCTCAAGCGATTCTCCTGCCTTAGCCTCCCAAGTAGCTGGGACTACAGGCACGTGCCACCATGCCCGGCTAATTTTTTCTATATATTTTTAGCTGTCCAATTAATTTCTTTCTATTTTTGGTAGAGATGGGGTTTTGCTCTTGCTCAGGCTGGTCTCGAACTCCTGAGTTCAAGCGATCCACCTGCCTCGGCCTCCCAGAGTGCTAGGATTACAGCTGTGAGCCACCACGACCGGCCAGCAGAGACCATATTCTTGAGGGATCAACTTCCTAGGGGGGCTTGGTGGCTCTTCACTCTTTCTCCAAGAAGCCTTCCCTGATTAGTCATGTTCTGTACTCATGAAAACTCATCCTGCCGTGCAAGTGCGGTATATGATGTATGTGTCCTTTGTTTTCCTGATCAAGTATGTATTTCACCTCCCCACTGAACACCAAGTTTATGTGCAAAGAATCTGTTTACTTCCCCTTCGTAATTCCCGAAAACAGAAATGATGTGCACAAGGAGTCAACAGAATGAGTTAACGTTTCTGTAAAACAGTTAGTATTATACGTGGCAAATAAAAGCAGTAGATGAGTATTTATCTTTATCTCACCAATCCTAACTGCAGATGATGACTTATTCAAAGAAAGAAAAAGAGAAGAAGTGGGGCTGGGTCCCTGTCCCCCCCCCCCTGACCCCCCCACGACTGGAATCCCAGTAAAACTCGAGTTGACCTGGGAGGTCTGGATACACCAGCACTTACCAAAAGTCCGGTGGAGATTCTCTGAAAGGGGAAAAAACGGAAATGGACTCAGTGGGGCGCTTAAAGGATCCTTTCTCCTCTGAGTCTTTGTTATTTAACTGCTTAAAACTGATTCTAGTGAAGACACACTGTAGAGAAAGGAAAACTGGAGGATTTCACTTCTACCCTGGCGGAAGGCAGCGGAGGGCAATGAGACTTCCCACAATTCTTGGCTGGTTAAGGATTAAGCAGTGGGTTTTCCAACTGAAGGGAGCACAGGGAACAGGAGAGGGGCAGAGGCGGGCTGAGAGCATGACATTTCAGCTATGCCAAAAGACCGAAAGGGAAGGATCGGGAGAGAGGGGCCTGGAACTCACCTATCTCTGCTCGAAGTTTTCCTAAAATAGAAAAAGGCAACATTTTAGTTCCTGGCGCTAAGAGGGCCTTGCACACCCACGCCGGGGCCTTCCAGCAGGCTATTCTCTGCGTCGGGATGCCCTTTCTCTGGCTCAAATCTGGGTTAAGTAGTGGAATAAAGAATTCGCAGGGCAGTGCCCTAAACCTAAGTGAGTTTCTAATACCTCCCCACTGCTCTCCCTCCTCTTGGCGGTTCCCAGCTCACTCCACCACTGCCGGGTTGCCACCTGGTGAGTCCAAAGCCACTTCCCATCTGAATAGGAAGGAAGAACTAGATATTGAGGGAGCAGGCACGTTGTGACCGGATCTGTACCAGGCACGTTACATGACATCATCCCCTTTAATTTTCCCCAAAATTTAGCAAGGAGGATGTTTTCTCTACTTGACGGACAAGGCGAGTGAGACTCAGAGAACCTGAGAATTTTGCTCAGAGCTCAGTGCCTGAGGTGGGATTCGAACCCAGGCCCGGCTCTAACATTCGGGTTCTTTCTGCTCAGCCATGTGGGTGCAAGGCCTTTTCCCTGTGGAGGAAGTAGGCAATAGTAGGAAGTAGGTAGTAGTAGGTAGTAGGTAGTAGTAACCAAGCATCTGGGAAGAATTCAAGGGGAGAGAAAAGACCCACTGTTGATCTCTCCAATTCCTGCACCCCTCCCCATAGCCCCCTCGCTGCTTTAACCTCTTAGCCTCAAACGGGAGGTGGGGGGCAGTGAGGGTCCTTCCTGCTTTGGTGAGGGAGAGGGCGCGGGAGGCAAGCTCTGGGCGCAAAAGAGGAACTTCAGGGACAGCTGAACCTGAGTCCTCAATGTTGAACGGAAAAAAAGGAGGAAACAATTTTTGAACACCTACCATGTGTTTCATTTCAGCGTCTTTATTTAATATTCCTGATAGCCTTGGCCCGTCCTACTTTGAAACTCACACTCTCCCAGTTGCAAGGAGCTGCTGGGGATGGTACAGGGGCGTGAGCTCTACCACTTACAAGCTGTGTCACTTTGAATGAGTCACTGAGCCACTCTTGGCCTCAGTTGTCTCCTCTGTAAAATGGGGTTATTATATGCCATACTTACCCATAGGGAAATGCAAGGTCCTATTATCCAGGTGAAAGCATTCAGTAAGATATAAAACATGCTGTCATTATGGAGTTCTAAACCCAGAAGTCACTCAAAATAACCGTTAACTGATGTAGCTCCAAGAGACCAGCTCACTTCAGGGAAGGATCTTGATCCGCCCACCCTCTGCCCCGTACCTCTCAGTCTGTGCTGCAGGCAGAGGAAGAGGAGGCCCACAGCGATCTGCAGGAGGAGGACAGGGAGCACGGCGATGAGAACCAGCACTCCAGGGCTGACCCAGTAGAAGGGATCTGAAAGGCAGAACCGACATTGCCCTGCGTTTCATCCTCAGCCGAATAAAGGAGTAAACATTACTGCAGTGCAAACAAGGTGACACAGTCACCTCTCACCAGAGCTCAGACTTAAGGAAGAGTGGGCTTGTTTCCAGGAAGGGCTAGTGGTTTAGAACAGTGGTCCCCAACCTTTTTGGCACCAGGGATCATTTTCATGGAAGACAATTTTTCCACAGACCAGGAAGGTGGGGATGGTTTCGGGATGATTCAAGCACATTGCATTTATTGTGCACTTTATTTCTATTATTATTATATTGTAATATAGAATGA